TGCCACCTGCTGCCAGCGCAACATCGCCGACACCCGCCATGTTCCGTGCTGGCCCCTGGTGGTCAGCACACATCATAGTGAGTAGTCGAACTCCTGGTCAAAGGGACAATTTACATATTAGGCTTTTACTATATAGGACTAGGAGTCCAGCGCGCGATTCGAAATCGCGCGGCTCCGCCCACCCTCCGGTCTGGCCCTGCCTCCCTCTCCAGCCCTTGAAGCAGCTGCGGCCGCTGCTGATCAGGCCCGCCCCCAGTGTAGGTGCAGGTGCACGGAGGCCCCTGCTGCCCCGCCCCCGACGTGCGCTCAACCTCCTGTCGGGTCGACCCGTTAGACAGCGTCCTGGTTAATTAACATACATATATATATATGTATATATATATATATAGAGAGAGAGAGAGAGGGAGCGAGCTTATTCATGTGCATTCTAGTCTACCACTAGATAACAGTGCTGCTGTCAAATTGTAATTGTTGTGGTCCTCTAAGAATTCAAAGTCCTTTTTTGAGAATTTACTTAAAATTCTTTTTTAAGAAAATGTATAGCTCACCCTAACTGGTTTGGCTCAAGGTACAAGGGCATGTACCTTGGTTGTGGGCACATCCCCAGTGGGGAGTGTGCAGGAGGCAGCTGATCGATGTTTCTCTCTCATCGATGTTTCTAACTTTCTATCCCTCTCCCTTCCTCTCTGTAAAAAATCAATAAAATACATTTTTTTAAAAAAAGAAAAAGAAAATGTATAGCTCTAGTATAGCAGCCTTATCACCAGTGTCCCACAATAAGTTTGTGATTGGATAACATGTCAAATAATTGTAAATATATCCCATAGCTCCCTAGGCCCTGTTTCCCAACATTTGTGTAAGTATGCCTGCAGAGGCTACCTACAAGTTGTGGGCAGATGCCCCTAGGCATCCATTTTTAGTCAACTACAACCTCCTCTCTTCTGAAATTTACAGTATGCATTGACATTTTGAAGGTTTGAGAAATTCTTAAATCCATTTAAATTATCATGGAACTTTTTAATGTATTTGTTCTGATACTTTTTTTAAAATTGTAATTTACATTTGATAAAATGTTGAGTTTTGTGAGTTTTATAATTTCATCTTTTGACTGTGGTTTGCTATTCTCTGTCTTGTAATTGTTTGAGTGCCGAATATTTGTATAAAAATAGTACAGATTGAAGTAAAACGTTATTTACTTCCAGAAAATGGGCCATCATCCTATATAATAAAAGCCTAATATGCAGATTGTCCCCTCAGGTGGTTGTTCCACCGGGAGTCCGGGAGTTCAACAGCTCACTATGATGTGCGCTGACCACCAAGGGGTGGTGTGGAACATGGCGGGTGTCAGAGACACGCTGAGACCTCTTGTCAGGGGCGGGGATAATAGGAACAGAGGTGTGGTGAAAATGCTGGTGTCCGCCGAGCTTACTCTCACTCCCCCTGCTACCTTCCCCCTGGGACTCCAGGGCTCGTGCGCCGGGGAAGCCCCCGTGCTCAGGTGCCGGGCGGCAGCGAGGAGCCCACCCGGCACCCGCGGGGCATCTTCTGGGTGAGCCAGGCCACAGCTGCCAGGATTGCAGGGGCCGATCTGTGAGGCTGGCCGGGAGAGAGTGCACTGCCCACCCGGCTTCCATGCAGTGCCGCTGGGCGGCCCAGAGGCCCATGCTGCGCCCTGGCCCATGGCGTCCGGTCGCGCTCACTGCATCTCTGTGTGGGGACTTGGGCGCTGCGACTCAGGTGGAAGGGGGTGCCCGGGGGCCCAGGTGCTGCCCAGGGCCCAGAGGTCAGCTGGGACCTGCCCATCCACACCAGATGCTCGCACTTCAATCGCTGGCCAGGCCTCGGGACTGCATCTTGCATAAATTTCGTGCACCGGGCTTCTAGTTTCTAATATTAGTCTGATAGTGGGGCTAAGTCAATAAGATGAATAGTGGAGCTAGTTCTGGGCTTTTTTGAAACTTCAGTTTGATTTCTTTTAAGTGCTTTGAGAGCAGGATTAGGGCTTTTCACTTTCTGCAAGATTTGTTGTCTGATTGTAATTTCAGTTATTTCTTTGTGCTTTATATCTGAGCCATCAGCTTTGGGACCTTTCGGCATTTTCTCTGCTTTACAGCCTAGCTGTCTGTCCTTTGGTCATTCTGGAGTTCTTTGTACTCTTTAGCCCTGCCCCAGGCTTTTTTGTGTCGATTGTGATAACCTCTCTACCAGTAATGTCTTCCAGGGTTTTCTCTCAGCAAACCTACCTGCCCTGGTAATAATGTGCAGAGGATCTGGGTGGAAATGGTTCTTTTTGGAATGATTTTTTGTTTTCACTTTTGCTCATCCCATGCTTCTCCTCCCATCGGAGGACAGATTTATTGCATTTGAGGGAGACGATAAGCTTCTTAGGGTTTCTCTCAGCTTTCCAGCTCTGTCCCCCAATCTTGGTCATATTTTCAAGCACTTTGGTGAAGACCTGTGGGAATGAGTGATTTGCTCTGTGAAATCTGTGGAATTCTAATATATCTTGTCAGCCTACATGTTACTATTAAGATTTATTAAAGGTAGGCTGGTTTCTCTTATGGTGGAACTATTCCTCCTTAGTATTTCTCAGAACTAGGTTTCTGAATATTTTTCATCTCAAATCTTAACTTTTCACTTCTGTCCTGAAGTGGTCAGTGATCTTGTCTTTTACTTTGAGATTAAAGTCATTAGCATTAAAATTTAATTGAGGGGCTTGTGAAGAGTATGGGAAAAAATTTGTTGTGGTAGGTACATAGAAAACTAAGCAATAAAAAACTAAGGTAATTAACTCAAGGGGGAAAAAGAGTTGTACAAAAAGGGAAATATGATTAAGTAGTAGTTTACTGCTAATCTCATCAGGCACAGAACTACAATTGGGAGTTAATTATCTTAAAGGTTGGAGGAATGTGAGTGGTTGTGGTGTAAATCCTCATTTTCCACTGAAAAATGAACAGATAATACCTAAACTTGATATTTTAAAGGATACCATTATAAGTCTATTACAGTAATCCCCCCCTAATCCATTGGGAATACATTCTAAGACCCCCCCCCCCCCCCCCAGTGGATGCCTGAAACCACAGGTAGTACTGAACTCACTTTCTCTCCTCTTCTCTCTCTCTCTCTCTCCTATATAATAAAGAGCTAATATGCTGATTACACCGAACAGCAGAACTACCATCCGGATGACCTTCCGGATGAAGCTGAGCCCCTTGCACGAATTTTGTGCATCGGGCCTCTAGTGTGTGTGTGTGTGTGTGTGTGTACTACCTTCTCCTATTATACATACTCAATACTTATGATAAAGTTTATAAATTAGACATAGTAAGAGATTAACAATAACAAGTAATCAAATAGAACAATTATAACAATATATTATAATAAAAGTTATATGAATGTGGTTTCTTTATCTTTCTCTTTCTCTCTTTCTGATAACTGATCTAATAACCTAGATAGCTATTAAGTGACCAGGGGGTGGGGACAGTATTCATTGTGGATATTCTGGAGAGAGGGATGATTCACATCCTGGGTGGGATAGAGTGGGACAGTGCTACATTTTCTCACACTACTGAGAATGGCATGCAACCTAAAATTTATGAATTGTTTATTTCTGGAATCGTGTATCTAATAATTTTGGATTACTGTTGACTGTGGGTAACTGAAATCCTGGAAAGTGAAACTGCAGATGGGGTCTGAGGGGTTGGGGTGGGGTGGTTAGGGAGACTACTATACTGAGTTATAAATAGCAAGATTAAATAAAAGTTTTAAGATTTTAAAAACTTGTATCTTGGTGTGAGAAGAGCAATTATATTTGACTATACTCACTATGCACATTATTACTTAAAAATGAAAATATATTTTTTAGAAGAAGCTTAATTAAAAATCTTCTGAAGGGATGTAAAAGTGAACCAAAGAGGGAGAGATAGAAACATCAATGATGAGAGAGAATCATTGATTGGCTGCCTACTGGAGATCAAGCCTGCAACCCAGGGCATGTGCCCTGACTGGGAATGGAACCGTGACCTCCTAGTTCATAGATTGATACTCAACCACTGAACCACACAGGCCAGGTCCCAAACCTTTTCTTTATATCTCTGTCTACCTTTCTTTCTTTACTAGAGGCCTGGTGCACGACAATTGTGCACTGGGGGTGGGGGGGTCCCTCAGCCTGGCCTGCACCCTCATGCAGTCCAGGACCCCTCAGCAGGGAGCGGGCCTAAGCCGGCAGACGGACATCCCCCGAGGGGTCCTTTAGCGCTGCTGCGGAAGTGGGAGAGGCTCCCGCTACCACTGCTGCGCTCCCTGTGGGAGCGCTGCTCAGCCAGAAGCCGGGCTCGTGGGTCCTTAGTACTGCCTCATAGGCAGGAGAGGCTACTGCCACTGTGCTCACCAGCCATGAGCCCAGCTTCTGGCTGAGCTGCGCGCCCCCTGTGGGAGCGCATTGACCACCAGGGGCAGCTCCTGCGGTGAGCGTCTCCCGCCTGGTGGTCAGTGCACATCATAGCAACCGGTCGTTCTGCCATTTGGTCAATTTGCATATTAGTGTTTTATTATATAGGATTCTTGTTATATATTTTACACTTTCCCTTCTTATAACTTTAGATTTTGTTTCATGATACCAAGTCAGTTATGAAAATTCAAAACTTCGGGGAGAGTGGGCTTGTAAATTTTTAAAAAATATTTTTGTGAAATGTTTTGAAAATTAGATTGAAGTTCTAAAAAGTGAGAAAAAGCTTTTCTTTTGGTGAAAGTATTTTGATTATTGACACTATTAAAAGTTAATATAGTATTAATAGTGATTAACTGGTCTAGTATTGATAAATATTTTATTTGTAAAATTATTATATTTACTCACTTATAACATTGTGTCTTTTGTAAAAGGGTTTATTTCCATAATTTGTTTAAATTAGTTAAGATATTTTAATGGGTGAAGAAGAGAACTTCTGAAAAATCTGTTGTGAAAGTAGTAATTTGAATTTCTATCTCATTTTGTAATTTGCTTTTGATACCATGTTGAAATAATTACTTGATTTTAAAGTTCCCCTCTAAATTACCTTTTCCATATCTTTTCTAGGTTAGATAAAGGAAGGCTATTTCCTTAGTGTGGATTGCTGCCTTTAGTAAGAATATGTCGTCCATCTTGCCATTCACTCCACCAGTTGTGAAGAGACTGCTGGGATGGAAGAAATCAGCTGGTGGATCCGGAGGAGCAGGTGGAGGAGAGCAGAATGGACAGGAAGAAAAGTGGTGTGAGAAAGCAGTTAAAAGTTTGGTGAAGAAGCTAAAGAAAACAGGACGATTAGATGAGCTTGAGAAAGCTATCACCACTCAAAATTGTAATACTAAATGTGTCACCATACCAAGGTAAGTGTTGTCAGATCAGAAATTTGATGGTCATCCTGTTGAAAATTGCTTAAAGGAATCTGAAGGAGAATTATTGAAATTTTGTTACTTTCAAGACACCTGTAAATAGTAATTACTAAAATAGGACAGCTATTTTTAGTCTGTTGTATTAATTTTGTTGTACTCTTTAGACTTACTTTACAAGTCATTTTCTTGAACAGTGAGGTTTAATCAAGCAAAATAAAATACTTCCATTATATTAAGTTTTATCTTCACTGTCTTCATTTGCCTTTGTTGCCTAAATGCTTCCATGGGTTTTATCTAATTTCTGTGATTGAATGACATTTGAGTAAAGATTCAGTGCTTTTCTATCTCTGGTGCAGTACTGCTAGACACATTTCTTCCCCCTTGGTTAAAACTTCACTCAGTAAGGAGTTGAAAGAGGCTACTACCATTTACTACCATTGTGTTGAATTTTATGTATTATTTTGTTTGAGTTGTAGTGTTACTTCTAAAAGATTACAGTATGTAAGGCAGCTTCTTAGATGTTAGACATGTCTTGAAGACCTACCTCTTGTATTGGAAGGACCCATTACTTATCTAATAAGAGGTCAAGTTTTAGTATCAATTTAATAATTTATAGATAAGTACCACTGTGAGAAATACTGTTTGTTTTTTAAATAATGTAGTAGATGTTTTTTAAGTGTTTCATTCCTTTTTATGTACGTTACAGGGCTTTTGGGAGTGTCTGCATAAAAGGATTGTTTGCCGTGTCATGCACATGGGCTGGCATATGGGTATAGCACATGAAACCATTCCACTTGACATGTTTTCAATAAGCTTTTGGAAATACACTCTGGGTGCTTGTTGATAATAGATCCAGTAACACCCAGCCTATCTACTTGCAAATACTAAGAGTAGAATGTTTCCTTCCTGTTTGGTAGATTATTTATTCATTTCTTTTACCTTGTTTCATGTATATTTTAAATAAGAGTCATTTTTCTTGTTTTATTCTTTTGTTTTACAAACACTTATGAGTACCTGATGTGTGCAAGGTACTTTTTCTAGGCACATGGAGATACAGTGATGAACAAAACACCGAGTTTCTGCCCTCTTGAGGAATTGATATATACAATAAATAAGTGGAAAATATAATTTGGTAATGAGTGCAAAAAAGACAATGATTGAAGGATAAAAAAAGCCGCTTTGGATTGGATTGTGATGTTTTAACCTAAGCTTTGAGAAGTACCAAGCTAGCTGAGGATTGCGTCTTCTAGGCAGAGGAAAGAGTTGGTGTAAAGACTCTGAGATGGAAAATTATTGTAATGGGGCCCCGTAGAGTTGGAGTAATACAGAATGAGTACAAAACTTGGAAGGAGTCAGATCATATAGTGCATTGTAAGGCACTGTGGGAGTTTGAATTTTAGTATAAAATTAATAGAAAGCATATCAGGATTTTAATGGATTTCTAAAATTTAAATCCACTTTTAGAGGATTTTTTACATACACTTTTACAAAGACTGCTGGGGACATGGTGGTCAGGATTGTGGTGTTTGTGTGTGTGTGTGTGTGTGTGTGTGTGTGTGTGTGTGTGTTTTAAAATGAATGGTGGGTCTGGAAGCAGAGAAATTAGGAGGCTATTATAGGAATCTAAATGAGATTCGGCAGGCTGGACTGGCGCGGTGGCTGAGCATATGTGAAGTGAATGAATTTGGCACGTATTTTGGAATTACAACTGATAGGACTTGCTAATGAATTGGCTAAGAATAAGTCAAGCTATGTTTGTTAAGTTTTCATTGTGTAGCACCCAGCATTTCAATTCAGTAACCATTTTTCAAATAGCCACTACATGTATGATAGGCTCTTCCTCATTGGAGTTAAAATATAATTTCTACACTTGAGCCACTTTCTGTTAAGGGAGACAAACTTTAAAAATACAAAAAAAAGATAATTTTGTGCAGTAGGTGTTATGAAAGATGTTTGCTCAGGGAGCTATGTCCAAAGGAGGGGAACTTTGCCTACTTTGTGGCTTGTGGAAAGTTTTCTTCTGGAGGAAGATTGGTGCCTGGATTGAATTTTGATGGATGTAAGGGAGGAATTTAGTTGGAAGAATCCCAATTCATCCAGAGTAGCACTGTGGTATTGAGAGTGTGGTGGTAGGGAAGGGCTGGTGAAGGGTTCTAAGTTAGTTTGTGTCCTGGGAGTGTAAAGTGGGAGCGGGGACATGGCAGGAGTGAGTTTATGTATGTGTTTATAAGGAACTACACTGCGTGGAGGAGTTTACACTGCACCTGAATATGGTTGGGTGAGGGTGGATTCATTGAAGAGTCTTAGGTAAAGAAGACTCAGAAATTAGATTAATTTTAAGTATAGCATCTGGCTGCAGTGAGGAAAATGGTTGTGAGACTGTCAAGAGTGGAGGCAGTTAGAGTATGTTGTCTCCCTCATCAAAGGGATGTGATCCAGAAGGCATGGAGCCATATTTTTGCCCAGCTTCATCTAAGGCTCAAATTGCCTTTGCTTAGAGATTATTGACAGAGCAGAGCCTGAGAGTAAGGTTATGCAATCCTGTCTTTTAAGAAAGCATAGTAAGTAGCAACCTACTGATTAAAATTCACAGACATGGATATTTAAACTGTGGAGGTCAACTTAGATCTCTCTTCCTTACTTTCGATTCTACTTTTTGTAGCCTTTTAGGGACTTTTTCATATTCTAGGCTACTTCATCATTAAAAGGTATTTTTCTACCCTTTAACTCTATGAAAGCAAAGTGGTGGTTGTCCTTTACATTATCTTGTGTTTTACCATCAAAAGTTCCTTGAAGCTTAGAAACTTGCTTGTCTAACTTTGTGTTACCTTTATATTGTAGAAATGTAGATTTGTTAATATTGCCTGTGTCTATCAAAAAATTTAAGCTTCTTACACTATAGTTTGGTGCCATATATTTTATAAAGTTTGCTTTGTTTTCAGTAGTATAATAGTTATATTATGTTAGATGATTAGTGATTTATTAACTACTAAATGTCTTTAAAGATAATTGTAGACTGTAAAGGGGAGGGAATGGGGTGAAAAAGGTATATTATGGATAAATCCAAACCATAGTTTAAACAAAATTATTTAAAATGTGATGGCAAATGGATTTAATGTAAGCTTATTTACTTAAAATTGCAAGTAAGTTGTTAATAAAATATCTCAAGGTTTTACAAAACTTATCAAAAAAGAGTTTGCTATCTCTAGAAGTTAGCCCTGAGAGGAGCAATCTCTCTTAATCCCAAATGTCAGAGTATCAAGGATAATAAAATAATAGTCATTACATTCTCCTATACAAGTTTGAAATTTAAGCCATCATTTTGCAGAAGTGTACCTTGAAAAATGTAGGCTCTTAAGCCAGCCAGATTCAAATCCTGGCTCTTATCTCAATAGCTCTGTGACTGAGTTATTTTATTTCTTTATTTGAAAATAGCAGTCATGTTAATTCACTTTAGGTTGATGTGAGTATGGATCACATAATACATGTAAAGCACTTTGAATGGTTCCAGGTACATAACAAAAGCTTAAAATAAGTTTGGAAATTTTGAGGTAAGTTTCCTGTAGCCAATGAAAATTTAATTGTTTACTTCTATCTTTGCTAATTTGTTAAGGACAGGGTTGTTCCCAAAGCTTCTTTCTTGGTGAGGGAAGGTATAAAAAACTATCTGAAGGTAGGCATATTCTTGTTTTCCATTCCCCATCCTTCAGCTGTATAGTGGTGAGGAAGTACACAGACATAGATATAGGACATGTAATTATAGAGATTTCCTTTTATTATCATGATCGGCTCTTGATTTCTGAATTATTTAGTCATATCTAAAATGAAAGTACTGTTTTGTTGTAAGTAGAAATAATTATGGATGAGTAGTTACAAATTACTTTGTAGATGGGTCATATTTCATGAATACATTAGTAAAAAAGAGCTGAAGACTCAAATGAAGTTTCTTTTGTGTATACCATTCTGTTAATTTATTAACCCCTTTAATTTTACTCAGTGTTCAGCATGTTTTATAATCTTTCCACAGTGACAACCTAGATTCTTGCTCCTTTTGATTTGTAGAAGAAATATACTCTTTAGGCTAGAAGGTCATGAAAAATAATAAATTATTAAGATGTAATTGCTGTCTTAAATCATGCAAATATGGCAGGAACAGGGGCACTTTTTAAATGATTTATATGATTCTATGGTATGAGCCTTCAAAGCCAGTGTTACTTTCTTTAACTTAGTTCTTCTCATTGCTTCTTTTTCATATCCTGATAACAAGTACATGAATACATATACATGTCCTTAATACAGAAAGAATGTCAATTAACAAACATAATGTCTGTTTGGACCAAAGTGCAAAATGTTAATGTAGATGTGTGTGTAAAATACCATGCATGTAATAGTTGGTAAATTGTACACTAGATTTAAAGTTTTAACTTCAGTTTTCAAAAGTCAGTTTATTAGCTGAAAAAAAGCTTTAATATGTTAATTTTACTGATACTGTAAAAGTGATACTAGAGAAATTCTGTATGGATTTCTGCCAGGTTTACTACCAAGCCATCTGGTTAGTCCATGATTAATTAATACACCGTAGGCCATACAGACTTCTTTGGCATATTAGTATCCTGATAATTTTAATAGCTATTCCAACCAGAATTTTTTTTTTTTAATTCAGTCTATGTAAGCAAGAAAGTTACAGAGTTGATAGGGGATAATCTGCCTTTAAGAAATTACGTTCTATACAGACTAGAGGCCCGGTGCATGAAATTTGTGCACGGGGGGGGGGGGGGGGGTCCGTCAGTTCAGCCTGCACCCTCTCCAATCTGGGACCCCTCGAGGGATGTCCGACTGCCCTCTCACAACCCAGGACTGCTGGCTCCCAACCACTCGCCTGCCTGCCTACCTGATTGCCCCTAACCCTTCTGCCTGCCAACCTTATCACTCCCTAACCTCTCCCTGCCAGCCTGATCGATGCCTAACTATTCCCCTGCCAGCCCGATGTTCCC